CCCCCCGCCCGCCGTGGGGCCCGGGCCTCGGCGGGGGCGCGCGGCGTCCAGCCTGGGGCCCGGGGCGGGTTCGGGACTCAAGGCCGACGAGCGCTGCGGTGCGTGGCCCCCGGGGAGGCTGGGGGCAGGGAGGGTACTGGGGACTCTGGGGTGAGGGTTGTCCATGCGGTGAGCGGAGCGGCAGGGCCCCGCGAATACTGCAGGGTGGCATCCCTGCCTCTGGGGCTGAAGGAGGCCCCACCCCGCCGCGGGCTGGACCTGCTCCCGCAGGCCCGGAAGCCACACCAAGTCCGCTCCGCTTCCCTCTACTTAAAAGACCAGGTTTGTTTTTCTGTGATGGAAAACTTGGGACCCATAGAACCACCCTAAGAAGGTCTACCCATCCCCCCCGGGCCATCCCCCAGCCAGCCCGAGGAGTGTGCCCTGACCCCACAGTGACCTTGGACGAATCAATGTCCCTCTCAGGACCCTGCCATCTGCAGGGGAGGCCCAGGCTGCCTCGGGTGCCAGCTGTCAGGAACCCTGTCACCTCTGCTTTGGGTGATCTGAGCCAGGCCCACATCAGAGTCTCAAATCATCCAGGCCACACCTACGACTACGACCTCAGTGCCCTCCAGGACCCCAGCCCCTGGGCGGAAGGAGACAGCCCTGATCAGAGCCCAGGCCACCGTGTTCCCCCCTGTGGAGAAGGGTGGGAGCCAGGTAACCCGGTGCTTCTCTGTGCCAGAAGCCCTCCCTGCCCGCCTGGGGCCTTGGGTTCGTGGTGGTCCCCACCCAGCACTGGGCAACGTGGGAGCTGAGGGTCTGTGTCCACCCCCATGCTGGGAGGCAGGGGGTGCAGCAGCCCCCGTACTGCGGGAAAGAACTTGACCGAGCTGCCGCAGGGGAGGCCAGAGTCGCGGGTCCCGGACCCTGAGCTCAGCCCGGGAACGGCAGATGGGCATGGACAGGAGAGGGGTTCTGGTGGGTTCCCAGTGGTTTGAGCCCAGGACCCCCGTTAATGTCAGGACACACCCTGAGCCTCTGTTTCCCTGCCTGTGAAGCACACTCCTGGGTTGGTAGAGGGTTGGAGGTCGTGGCGCATGTGGGTCACTGGCCCCAAGGCTGCCGATCACTGTGCTGTTACTGTCCCCCGAGTGACCCCCCAGGCAGCTCCACGAGGAGCCGGGCAGGCCACGGTGGGCGAGTAGCTGCACAGGGCCCACTGAGGAGCAGGGCACTCCCTGTCCTGGGGGCTCGCTCGCCCATGGGTGACAGGACCCACAGGAGCCAGGGCAGGGACTGCTTCTGGAGGAGGTGCCCACCTAAGATAAGGGCCTGGGGGGCGGTCACAGCTAGCCAAGTGCAGACGGTGTCCTGGGAGCTGGGCCGCCACCTGAAGGCCCGAGGTGGAGGGCGTCTGGCGGGACACTGGGCAGTGTCCAGGGTGGGCCCTGCAGTCAGTCTGGGAAGCCTGGGTCCGGCCCAGGGCAGCCCCTGGGTCCAGTGCAGGCTACAGCCTGTCCTCGTCCTGGCCATCCCCCCAGGACTCCCAGCGCTGGCCCCCCAGAGGCCCTGCCCACCTCCACCTCGGGGTGTGGTTCACCAGCGGCTGGAAGTCCTCTGACCTCATCCTACCAGACAACATCCCCAGCTCCCCAGCCCCCCACCCACTGTTGCTCTGCTTTCCTGTTTTTCCCTTTGAACAAAACTGGCGGAAACAGATGCAGTGGCAGGGACTAGTGGGCCTGAGACCCAACCCGCTCACTCGGCCCCAGGGCCACCCCAGGCCTCTGAGGCTCCGGGCCTGCCCCTGGAGCTCTCAGCGCCCCTCCTGCTGCGGCACCTCCGTGTGAGTCGGTGCTAGGGAAGCAGGAGGTGAGGACCCCGCCTCTCCTGGAAGAACCGTAAAAATGAGCACAGATGCCTGGGCTGGGCCTGCAGGCCCCTGCCCTGTCCTCAGTGGGGACCCGTTGGCCCCATTTCTCGGCCCCAGCCCCCAGGTGACTAGGACCCAGGACTGGAGGCGCTCCCTGGCCCGCGGGTGGCAGGGTGCGTGACCAGGGCTGGCAGTGGTTCCCCTCTGGGGCAGGCTGGCCTGAAGTCCTAGGCCCTCCTGCCCTCCTGGGCCCTGGGCCCGGGCCCTGTTCTCTGGGGCTCAGCTGCTTGGTCAAGGTGTCTGAGCTCTTGCACGGGCCAGCGCATGGTAACCCCATCCCATCAGCTGGCCGCCCCTGGACAGCAGCCAGTGAGGCCTGTGATTTACCAGGGTGGGGGTAGGGAAGGAAGTTGATGCCCCTGCAATCCCGGCTTGGGGGCTGGATGGGAGACAGTGTCCCCAGCTCCTGCAGGGCTCTGGGACCCTCCCACCCTGTGATTCTACCCGTCAGCTGGGGAAACCTGGCAGAGGGGCTGAGCCCTCCACAGAGACTTCTGGGACAGAGCCTCTGGCAGCAGGGCCAGGGGCTGCATGTCTTAGTTATCTGTTCTTTATCGTGGTAAATTATACATCACATAAATTTAGCATCTTAACCATTTTTAAGTGCACGGTTCAGGGGCATTAAGCACATTCACATTGTTGTGCAGCCGTCACCATCCGTCGTCTCTAGAACCCATCTCATCATCTTCCCAAACTCAAACTCCATCCCCTTTAGACACTCACTCCCCATCCTCCCCAGCCCCTGCCCACCCCCCACCCCCCCGCC